GTGTGTAGAGAGAGGGAGAGAGAGAGAGAGAGAGAGAGAGAGAGAGAGAGAGAGAGAGAGAGAGAGAGAGAGAGAGAGAGAGAGAGAGAGGGGGGGAGGGAGGATTAATGGCTATGATTCAAGAAACTGCATTCCTCTTTTTGTTTTTTACTATGTTCTCTTTTTGATTTTACAACACGTGCTCATTCTTGCACCGCTTCTGTAGGGACAGACACATTGCTGCGGTGTTTTTTTTTTGTTTTTTTTTGTTTTTGCCCCTTCTATTCTGGGGGGCTCAGTCCGGTTGCTCATCACCGACAAGCATGCTTTTACATCTCAAAAGAGGAGGGGGGGAGAGCAGACATGACAGACGACCAGCCTGTCCCTTGTGGCCCTAGACGCCTGGCAAGGGGGGGGATTGTTTTGGGGCAACCCTCCCCCCTATCCTTTGCCTTTCAGGGGGTTGCCGTACTGGCCGGGAAGCTTACTGGCAGCACCCATTCACCCCGAAGGACAGCCGTCGGATAGGCGGGTGCGGGGGGGATGCTCCTAACAGTTCCTTAGGCCGCTTAGCATCCTGTTACCTGTTTCTGATATCCCTCAGCCTATTCCCCTGTAGTTGCATATCCACCTCTACCTAACTATTCTCACCCAGATCGTGTTCCGCTTACCCCCTACATCTATGCAAGCCATGATAGGCCATCACCCACCCACTTGTTTTAGCAATGTTTCATGTTTTCTGTCTTTTTACGGTTTCTTTTAGTATCTCCCGTCGACCCCTCGGACCGCTCACCACCCCATTCCCCCTACACCTTGGTACTGCCCCCTCTTCCTCCTCCTCGTTCGCGCAAACAGCTCGCAAACGTGTTCGGGCGAACATATATATATGTTTCGTAAAGTAAAAACAAATTTTATTTTATTTTTTTTCGGTTTTTGATTTTTAACTCACGTTTGGCTAAGAATTTGAACATGACTCCAAGGCAAAAGTTGCTTGTATTGTTGTTTTACATGACTTTTTTTTTTTTCAGATTTTTCTGAGACTTTTTTTGAAATATTTTTTTATGTTCGCGTTTGGAGGGTTTTGGGTGCTAGTTCGTGTTCGGGCGAAAATGTTCGGGTTCACCTCCGAACATGAACACGATGCTACGTAGGGTACTGCATCTGTCTGCTTATTAATTAATGGGTTCGTTGTTGTTGTTGTGGTGCTTCTGCAGCACGATGCTACTGCGTGATGTATGCTCCTGTAAATCCGATTTTTGTTTTTTCCCAAAAAAAGACTGCTCATTTCTATTTCCAGAAAGGGTAAACCGATTTCGTGATGTCTTACTGGTGTTGCTGTTGCTATGTCACACACACAGGGTTGTCGGTCGTTCACAGGATTCTGCATGGAGTTTGGGAGAGTAGGGTATCGACAACGTCAAAGAACAGTGTGATTGGGTGCAGGAATTCGCGAGCAAGGGCGGCGGCGTTGTAGTGCGTGCGCGCGTGCCGTCTTGGACGGCTGCACAGGCAGACGCACTCGCTCCTGCGTGCGTCTCTGCGGCGCAGCGCGGGAGGACAATGGCATTTGAAGGCTACGCAAACCCCAGGACGGCGCTGTTCCACGTCTTGTTCAAGGGGTTGGCAATAGCATTCTATGTATGTTGTAAATGGATATCATCGAGCTTCGTCATCCATTTTGTAGTGTGTGTGTTATTGTTAGCACTTGATTTCTGGACTGTTAAAAATGTCAGTGGCAGGCGACTTGTGGGGCTACGATGGTGGAACGAGACCGATGAGAATGGCGAGAGCGTGTGGAGGTTCGAGTCTCTTGATCAGGAGGCTATGGATCAATTGAACAGCAAGGACGCATGGTTATTCTGGTCGACGATTGTCATAAGCATTGGAGTCTGGGTACTTCTGGGAATTGGCGCCATTGTGAACGTCGCCCCCAATTATCTTCTAATTGTTGCGATCGCGATTGTATTGAATGGGGCGAACATTATCGGCTTTTTCAAATGCCGGAAAGATGCAAAGGCCAAGCTTCAAGGCCTTGCAACCGAGACGATGGTGTCCCACCTAACGCCAAAGATACAGAATCTTTTTTCAGCTTAGTGATATGCCCCCCCCCCGCCTCGCCCAGTCCCGCTGCCCCCGCCGCCTCGACCAGTCCCGCTGCCCCCGCCGCCCCGCCCAGTCCCGCTGCCCTAGCTGCCCCGCCCAGTCCTGTCGATCCCGCCGGCACCCTAACTGACGATAATGCAGCGGAGAGCGTCCTTGCTGCCACATCGCCTTCTTGAAGAGCCTGCACAGCCTCCCTGTGAATGGGGGGAGAGCTTTGCTCTGCGGATGTGCTGGAGGGGTGATGAGGGACATAACAGGTGCTTCTGACTCAGCGCGGAGGCAATCCTATATTTGTCCGCATGGTACTGCGCTGCACTCCCTTGGAACCCACCTCTTTAACTTGCCTCCTGCACGGCCTCCCTGTGAGGTGGAGCGAGGCCTGCTCCGCAAATGCGCTGCAGTCAGTGGTGATGAGGGACATGACAGTTGCTTCTGGCTCGGATTGGAGGCAAGCCTATATTTGTCCGGATGGTGCTTCGCTGCACTCGTCCACTCGTCCTGTGCGGCCTCCTGTCTCTTATACACATCTAGATGTGTATAAGAGACAGCTGTGAGGGGGGCGGAGAGGTCTGCTCTGCAAATGTGCTGGAGGGGTCATGACGGATGTTACAGTCACATCTGACTCAGCACGGAGTCAAAGCGTGTATTTGTCCGGATGGTGCTTCGCTGCACTCCTCCTGCCCGGCCTCCCTGTGAGGGGGGGGAGAGGTCTGCTCTGCCAATGTGCTGGAAGGTGGATGAGGGATGTAAGTGACGTAACACTTGCTTTTGACTCAGCGCGGAGTCAAGCCCTATATTTGTCCGGATGGTGCTTTGCTGCATTCCCCTTGGAGCCCGGCTCGTTACCTTGCCTGCTTATCTAGTCTTCACTCCTTGCACTTGCCTCTGCCTCGTCTTTTCTCTTGACGCGTTTCTGCACGGGTCTGTATTCGCGGTGGGCCCACTACTGGTGGGATGAGGGACGTAAGTTACATAACACTTGCTTTTGACTCAGCGTGGAGTCAAGCCCTATATTTGTCCGGATGGTGCTTTGCTGCATTCCACTTGGAGCCCGGCTAGTTACCTTGCCTGCTCATCTACTCTTCACCCCTTCCACTTGTCTCTCCCTCGTCTTTTCTCTTGACTCGTTTCTGCACGGGTCTGTATTCGCGGTGGTCCCACTACTGGCTGTTGTTGACAATTCCTTTTTTTTTTTTTTTTTCCCTTAAATCACCAGTACCTACTTCGTTTTTAGGCGTTCACGTGGTGGATGAATCTCTTTTTTTTTTTCTTCTTCTTAAACCACCGGTACCTATTACCTAACGACAGGTCTGTATTCATTCGCATCAGAGGGGGCCTAAGACCCCCTGAGGTACTGGTGGCTTAATGGGAGTTTGCTTTGTCGTATACCCAAAACAAGAAGGCCGCAAGAGCAGCCAAACCAAACCACACGAGGAGATCCCATGCAGAATGGAACCGGCAGCCCCGGGTGGGACCAAACTGCAGGGAGTACTCGATTTTATCAGACTGGGATATCAAAACTGTATAGGCTTGGTGGGCTGCAAGGGAACACTGCGCACAGCCGAGTTGTGCCCCATCTCGGTTTGTTGGCCTCGACTTTGGACGTCCAGCGCCGCTAAGCTCCTCCTCTAACTAACAATCGGCGCTCGGGTAAGCGCCACGTAATAATGGTTTTAAAGGTCTTTTGCTGTCCTTTGTTTACTGTAACAGTGATCTGGACATCCGAGGTAACATTTTTGTTGTTGTTGTTTTTCCTTCTATCGAATGTCCGCGCTTAATCCGTGCCGATGCAGGCTTGGAGGTGTCGACGAAAGAATATCGTCGGTGTCTCCTTGCATGGCAGCAGCATCGAGACTGAAAGTGTTGTCAGTCGCAGCAAGGCACGGCAGGCGGGTCAGTTTTTGCGGGTCTTATCGACGACCCAACATTTGTTGTTTTTCTCGCCATGCAGCTTCGCGAGGCTTAAAAGAGTTATGTTTTTCACGCTGCACAGCGGTGGTGGCGTGTGCAGGTCATGTCGTCTGATTTTGTTTTTGTGGTGCGCTGCTGCCTCCAAAGCTCCACCAGTGCAGCGACCAACACACAAGACACACAGAACGGGTGGGCCTAGCTCAGTTGGCACACCCGTGAACGGTTGAAACACGGCCGTGAGTTTGAATCCAGAATGAGATATGATTGAAAATTTGAAATGTAATCCGGAATTACCTGTGGCCGGTCTGTACGATGAAGATTTCTCAAGGCCTCTGCCCATCCGGTAAAAAGACGGAAGTAAAGTCGACCACTTTAAATTTCTCAGGGGATCGCGGTAAGAGTGAGACACGTCGTGAGTACTTATGCATCTGTCAAATGCAACCGGGGCAGCCTGTCTGTCCAGGATCAAACTCCTGATGAGTCGATGAAAGTCTGACGAAACAGTCTTGCACTGTCATTCATGCTTTCTTTTATGGAGTTGTGTACGGTGAACACGACAACACATAAACACACACAATGGTTATTGCTTTCTCACAGTGCGTGGCAGTGGGTGGAGATCATCATGGCTCTTCTTTTTTCTGTGCCGTGTGACAGTGGATGCCAGTTGCATCATGCTCTTTTTGGTTTTGTTCCGGGCAGCGGCTCCACGCGTGTGTGCGCATGTGTGTGTGTGTGTGTGTGTGTGTGTGTGTGAGAGAGAGAGAGAGAGAGAGAGAGAGAGAGAGAGAGAGAGAGAGAGAGAGAGAGTCTTTCTCGCCTCTTACCATTTATGGTTTGCACGTTTGGCTTTCGTTAAATTCGTTTAGTAATACGTTTGATTTCGTCCGTGTGGATCTGTCCTTGTGTGTGTGTGTGTGTGTGTGTGTGTGAGAGAGAGAGAGAGAGAGAGAGAGAAAGAGAGAAAGAGAGCAAAGAGTCCACGTTGAGGGTATAACAGTAGTCCCAAAATTGAAGGCCAACACTCCGAAGGGATCCCAGAAGAGCTCCTGAGGGTGGAAGATTTCAAGTTGATCGGAGGGTCAGAAAAAGAATACCACCGAGCCAATGAACCTAACGCACTTGGTACACCCATAAACTGTTGAAATACAGACCCAAGTTCGCCGGACTGAGACATCTCTGAATTACCAAGGGACGGTCAGTTCGATGATGATGGTATCTGGGCGCCCTCGCCTTTTTTTTTTTTTTTTTTTTTTAATGGGAAGAAGGCTCCAATCTATTCGTGGGGAGCAGCACGTGCTGGGAACCGGGCCCAGCGTCCCATATGGAATTTTTTACACAGAAGTTTTGAAATTTGAGATATTTGAGATACCGGGGCCATTACCCGGCTTTGGCTAAGAAAAATTTGAACTACTTGCAACGTACTACGACGAACTTCAGGAATAAGCAAAACCCCCATCAGTCCTCTTTACCTCACTCCGGCAAGACTTCCTGCAGCAGAGCCGCCATCTCCGCTGCTGCTGT